TCTCCCACATAAAAAGGTTAGGGGTGCTGGTCATACCTCTTAGGGGTGGTAAAAAAAGCAGTTTTAGTACCTCTTAGGGTGTTCAGCCTCAAAAGGTTCAGTCAGCTGGAGGCTGGAGCTTTTGAGGTACCGTTTAGGGTATTGGGCCAAAAAAATATGACAGGAGATAATGTGTTACGTAAGAATTGGTACCTCTTTAGAAAAAGTTCAAGCCACGCCCACAAAACAGGATCTTGGTACCTCTTAGGGGCTCTCTTCAAAATTTCCAACAAGCACCCCCTTCCTTTTTATATCGGAGTCCCCCCCCCCCAGGGGGAAGGTTTATTTAACATGTCCTGTAGGTCCATTTCTTGAAGGGTTCTGAGTGCATCCTTTCCTTCTAATGCTCTTAAGTGCAATTTAAAAGACAACTTGAAACCAGTGTCAAGCAAGGTTTCATGTTGTATGTTCCATGTTCTTGTTGCGTAAAAATACTGTAGCACNAGCAAGTTTTCATGTCGTATGTTCCGTGTTCATGTTGCGTAAAAATACTGTAGCACGAAATAAGTACATGTATAGCCGGTGCAAATTTCACAGTAGCCATTGACATATGAAAAGAATTTTGCAGATGTCAACTTGCATGGCTGTTATATAGAAAGACTAGGAAATTACAATATTTAGAGAGGAAGCCACTTCAACCTTAGATGCTTTTCATGCAGGTCCACTATAATGGTAGAATTCGAATTTGGAGGTGTTGGTTTTTGTGGAGAGAGGAAAACTGGAAAACCTGGAGAAAAATCCTTGCAGCAAAGGGAAAACCAACAACAAACCAAACCCAGTGGACATTCGGTGGGAAGCGAGCGCTCTGACCACTGGGCCATCCCTGCTCCCCTTGTGAAGTGGGCCTAACTGCTGCATGCATCCTCTATAAATTTATGTCTATCTCAGAAGACTATGCCTTATCATAAGGTTACTGGGCTAGGGTTACTGGGTTTAGGGTTAGCAGGTTGTAGGGTGGGAGAAACTTGGACACTTAAAATAAAACCTCATTTTCCTCACTTTATATACCCTTTTATACCAGATTTCATGATGAAAGAAGCTGAAGTCAAGCTTTATTGTAAAAACATACAAAATATAATCTAAGAAGCCGAACCATAACTGAACAATCTCATGAAGAAAATGATTTTATCTTTGGAAAATGCTGCTGTGCTCATCATGATCAGTTCTTAAAATAATCTGGGCAGTGTGGTCTGGTCTAGGGGCAGGTCTTATAGGTACATGTGCATCAACATGTAGACATTGTTAATGATACCATTCCAGTTGTNGCAGGTCCACTATACTGGTAGAATTCGAATTTGGAGGTGTTGGTTTTTGTGGAGAGAGGAAAACTGGAAAACCCAGAGAAAAAGCCTCGCAGCAAAGGGAAAACCAACAACAAACCAAACCCAGCGGACATTCGGTGGGAAGTGAGCGCTCTGACCACTGGGCCATCCCTGCTCCCCTTGAGAAGTGGGCCTAACTACTGCATCCTCTATCTCAGAAGACTAAGCCTTATCATAAGGTTACTGGGTTAGGGTTACTGGATTTAGGGTTAGCAGGTTGTAGGGTGGGAAAAACTTGGACACTTGCAATAAAACCTCATTTTCCTCGCTTTATATACCCTTTTATACCAGATTTCATGATGAAAGAAGCTGAAGTCCAGCTTTATTGTAAAAACATACAAAATATAATCTAAGAGGCTGAACCATAACTGAACAATCACATGAAGAAAATCATTTTATCTTTGGAAAATGCTGCTATGCTCATCATGATCAGTTCTTAAAATAATCTGGGCAGTGTGGTCTGGTCTAGGGGCAGGTCTTATAGGTACATGTGCATCAACATGTAGACATAGTTAATGATACCATTCCAGTTGTTGTAATGTCCCACTTAAAATGGATTTCCTAATTTTCCTAAAGGGGGAAGGGGGGTGGCATGTCCTTAAGAAGGAAAATACCATGGAGCATTCTGAATTACAAGGTAATTAAAAGTCAACTGTGCTTTGGGTCTTAAAGTATCCCATCTTACCATTGAAAGAGCAACTGTGTTGTGAATGTATAAACATAAAAAAAAACTGTTAAATTAAAAAAATCAGAAGGAGTGATTGATAACATCCCACCAACTACTTTTGTCTTACTATGGGAGATGTGATGGCCTAACAGTGAACTAGCATTCCATTCAGGGGGGCGGGGGGGGGGGGTTGTAATACTCCCTTAATTACTTTATACTAACGGACACCGAAATAAGCAATTAGCAGTTCCTTTATGATAAATTTACCCCCTCCTTATGACAATTCAACTTTTTCAACACCCCATCCCTCTCAAAGAGTTCAATAAACATTGCTAAAGTGCTTACAATGCATTGAACAATTAAATAAGAGTTATCCTAACCCATAAAGTATGGTTAATTTTTGGATAAAAAATAAATTTTTTTTTAATCTAAAAATTAACCTACAAGTACATGAACTCAAGAACATTGCACAATTACATTATTAGAATTATATTTATTTATCACAATTTAAACCTAAGTTACTAAATATAAAATCTAACGTTTTAACACAATGACCTTAAGATACATGTTCTCATGAAAAGCATAATGAATTATAAATTAATGACATGACCTCATGAACAACCTTAAAATCTAACATTAAAAATTATTTGTTTTTTTTTTTCAATCTGTTTATGTTCTTATGTTCTCATGGTCTTCTCTCATATTTCTTTCTTCCATCTTGAAGATTTACCCTTCATGATCAACACATACTGGCTCTGTGGCATCATTCCCCTTGACATGATGAACACTTTCCTCGATCATTATTGGGGAACCCTCCCTTGCATCAGGACGATTTTCTTCTCCCTTCTCAGGGGCAACACAATTGCAAGCACCCCCAATGCCACCATCATTATTTTCCTCAACCATCTCAGGAAAAACCCTTAGGTGATTGCAATCGCAATCAACACAGCCCATACCTCGAGATCCTGAAAATGGTGGGAAGCCCCCTCGACCTCGGCAAAACCCGCCCCGCCCGCGAGCCATTCCCCTTCCAGGGACTCCCCGAGGGAATCCCGCGCCTCCCCGAGGAGAAAAGGGACCGAAGCCACGGCCATGCATCTGTGAGAAATCTTCAATACCACCTTGTCCCGACATGGGTCCAAATGATGCTGGAAAAGGACATCCGGGAGGAAAACCACCAAATCCTCGAGGACCGAACCCACAGCCACGATTTGCTCCTGGGAATGGAACTGTTGTGCTGAAATTTGGTCGATGCCGAGAATCGAAACTTCCTCGAGGAGAAAACCCACCTCTTGGACACGCGAAATGCGGTGCATGGAAGCCCCTTCCTCGGGAAGCCAGTCGACCTCTTGAACAAGAAGGATGATCAAACGGCCTTGATAGAGGAGCTCGATCTTCGTTTGACCCCCTGGGATCGCATTTCGGACTGGAAACAATTTCACCGCATTGCAAACATCTGAAGCAGGCTGTTTCCAATTTCTCCTTACAGTTTCCGCAGTATAGTGGCTTCTCTTTGCTGAAAACGACAACCATTGTGACTAACGTAATCTTGAAATACTTGTACACTCTTCCTCAGCTCAGCAGACTTCTTGATGTCTTCTAATTCTTGTAGAATTTAACAATAAAAATCCAAAATGTCTACTCGTCTCTTTTATCATCTGAAGCTTGCGCAATATTGAGTTCTAAATATAGCGTGGTTACATCAGCATTTCGAAAATATAGATTACTTCATGATTCAGGCAAAGTGACTCAGCAGATCCGAGAATCACCGAAGACTGAAAATATGTAGACCAAAACAGGCCAACGTCTATTAATTAAATTTTCTTTTTCAGAGAATGTAATTCAAACACTTCACGTACAAGCAATTTACAAGAAGCTATTGCAACAAGCGCACGTTCGAATTGCATGACGTGACTAAGATAGATCCTCTTAAAGTTGAACCGTCACGCTAACTTATCGAAACTTGACCGCGCTTGCATCCCAGTTGCATTTTAAAGAAGACTAAGTTATAAAAGTCGATGACTACTGCTTGTCGTGCTGCAATATAAAGACCCATCTGTCAATTACATCATCTCAGTTCGCGCCCACCCTATTTTTTGGTCATCAAGCGGTCACGCATTCTTATTTGGCTCATCACGCGATCACGCAAGGCTTCGAAGTGCACAGAAGTCTCTCAAAGGACGTCTACCGACATTTTATCATGTTTATTCCCCTTTCTTGTTTATTTTACGCTGGGTTCTACCGCAATCAGAGAACTAATTGTCTCAAATGGCCGGCACTGCATGCTAGATAGAGAGCAGTCGGCTAAATGTTTTGTTGAATATTCTTGATACGGGTTGCGGCAACGTGACGAAAACAGAATATTGGGCTGCTTGCCTGGAACTGCCTTAAACAATATTCCGTTCCGAGATAAATTGCAGAAAAGTGATCTTTTATGATGAAGCAGCAGTCTCCTCCCCAAGTTGTCTAACTGGAAGCGTTGGTGAGCGTTGATTAAACTTATCCTGTCTCAGCATTGTTGTTGTTGTTATCATCATTGTTGTTTGACAAATTTTGTTTGTACTCTCACTTGTAACGGTAGTTCATAAAGACTTCTTCAGCCTCAGAGGAACTTAGAAAGACTCGCGCGTGAAGATTAACTGTTCTCAAGCAATGCCTGGAAAAGAAAAAAAGGAAAAACGAAATAGCCCGTGTACAGGCTAAAGCGAAGCAGTCTAGTAGTCCTTCTTTTAATTTATCCACGAAGCAACTGCGAGACTCGAAGTGTAATTCCGTATTCAATTTAATTAAAATTATTTCTTCGTTCCTTCCCTGTCTTTCCGTTTTCTTTTTTCCCAATCCCTCTCTGGTGATGATCATGCAGGAGTCTGGGATCAAGTTCACAAAACCACGTTTTCAAAATGGCGGAACACGATCTCACCGCCCGCATGGGTTGCTTTTTAGACCGTCATTTAGTGTTTCCCTTGTTGGAATTTCTCTCAGTCAAAGAGGTAAATACTTGCTTCAACTATCTTTTCATCTTTTTTTGTATTTTGTAGTTAGCTCTTTCCTCGAAATGACTGAGAATTAAACCTTTGTTTTGTGCGTACTTTGGTGCATCGTAATTTTTCGCAGACAATTTTAATTCTCTTGTTGTTTTTCCCTCGTTTTTTCAGATTTACGATGAAAAGGAATTGCTTAAAGGAAAACTCGATCTGCTAAGTAACACAAATATGGTAAGCACATAATTTCAAGACAATTGTGTGTAAAGTAAAAGGTCATGAACGTTGAATGGAAGTGATTGTATCAAAGCCTCTGATCGATCGATCAGCTGCGTACAACATGAGCTGAAACGTAAGCTTATGCTATTGGGTCAATTCTGTAATGATTTCCATACATTTATTTATATCTCCAATTCCAAAAATTTAATGTTTTAGCCATAAGTTGATCATTTACTGAGAGTATCAATGTATGTTTAAACTCATTCTCCCTCTGTTTATTTGCTCGTTTATAAGTTGTTTCGCCCACAATTTAGGTTGATTTTGCTATGGATGTGTTCAAAAATCTCTATCCAGATCAGGATGTTCCAGAAGGTAATTGTTTTCATCTGAAAAAGTGACTTTCAAACATTTGATAAAGCTTGAACGTAAGTTACTGATAAGAAATGTGTACATGGACATGTTGTATATTGTTGAGGCACAAATAGCGCTGTTCTGTTAAAGAGTGTCCTTAGAATTGGTAGAATGCAAATGCCCTCTCTGGGGCTTCCAGTATTAAATTTTGTCTTATACTGTAGTTTTTGTAATTTTGTAACTCTGTACTTTTTGCAGAGTGTCTCCTTAATTCATGACCATGGAAATGACAACAGAACTACAGTTGTTTCCTGAAATCAACATACTCACTGTAACTCATACCCACTCTTCCTTCAACAGAAAATAATTATCAACGAGTAGAATGTCAAAAAAGTGAATCTTGTGGTTGATTGTTTTATTGAAAAGAGTCATTATTTTTCTTTGTAGAACTTGTAGAAAAAAGAACAGAAGTTGTTACACAGTTGAAATACCTACAGGCTCAAACGGAACCTATCGTGAAATGTTTTGAAGATCCAGAGTTTAACAATCAGATACAGACAATAAGGTGAAACAAGTTAAATATCAAGTTTTAGATGTGGTTTACAGTGCAAATCAGGGATGCATATTATAATCGTCGATCATTAGCAACAATAAAGCCTGGGTTTTGTAATGTCAAGGGACTAGGAGTGTTCCTGTTCAGTTCTCTCGGTTTGGATGCTTGTCAGTGATAGGCTCCTCCCCCCTCCAGATGATGTCCCTCCTCCCTCTCGTCTCCCCCCTCCTCCCCCTTTTCCCTCACCCGATACCTGATACCAGTAAATCCTTGGCGGAGACTGGACTCACTAGTTCCTTTGATGCACCATGATCCGAGTGATCCTGATGCTGATCATCCCAAAGGAACACACCCAAAGTTGCCTTAAAATACAGATGAGGGCCACGTTAGGGCTTTACTTGTGACAGAAATCTGGATTCTTAAATCTACTACACAGTTAACCACCATTCCTTGCATGGAATGTACATAAACAGTGTCAAACATTATTCAGACATACTTGTAATTTGTAGCTCTAATCATGTCGGCAAGAAATCATGTTACCTTAGCTACATGATTGTATGATAAGGATGTGGGGCTAATTGCACTGCACTAATGAATCTTTTATCTTAATGTTATTTTTGTAGGGATGGAAGACAGCTATTTGATTACCTTGAAATGAACCATGGGGTATGCTTGTTTCAACTTTCAATTAATGCTTTTATTCCCATGAGTGGTTAACATCTAAATAATAAAATATTTTCTAAGTTGTGGTAAATCTCAATAAACTTNTATCCAGATCAGGATGTTCCAGAAGGTAATTGTTTTCATCTGAAAAAGTGACTTTCAAACATTTGATAAAACTTGAACGTAAGTTACTGATAGGAAATGTGTACATGGACACGTTGTATATTGTTGAGGCACAAATGGCGCTGTTCTGTCAAAGAGTGTCCTTAGAATTGGTAGAACGCAAATGCCCTCTGTGGGGCTTAAGGTATTAAATTTTGTCTTATACTGTACTTTTTGTAATTTTGTAACTCTGTACTTTTTATGATCTTCTTAATTCATGACCATGGAAATGACAACAGGACTACAGTTGTTTCCTGAAATCAACATACTCACTGTAACTCATAATCACTCTTCCTTCGACAGAAAATAATTATCTCCAAGTAGAATTTTAAAAAAGTGAATCTTGTGGTTGATTGTTTTGTTGAAAAGAATCATTATTTTTCTTTGTAGAACTTGTAGAAAAAAGAACAGAAGTTGTTACACAGTTAAAATACCTACAAGCTCAAACAGAACCTATCGTGAAATGTTTTGAAGATCCAGAGTTTAACAATCAGATACAGACAATAAGGTAAAATGAGTTAAATATCAAGTTTTAGATGTGGTTTACAGTGCAAATCAGGGATGCATATTATAATCATCCATCAGTAGCAACAGTAAAGCCTGGGTTTTGTTACGTTAAGTGACTAGGAGTGTTCCTGTTCAGTTCTCTCGGTTTAGATGCTAGTCAGTGATAGGCTTCTCCCCCCTCCAGATGATCTCCCTCCTCCCTCTCGTCTCCCCCCTCCTCCCCCCTTTCCCTCACCCGATACTTCAAAGAAACCAGTAAATCCTTGGCGGAGACTGGACTCACTAGTTCCTTTGATGCACCATGATCCGAGTGATCCTGATGCTGATCATCCCAAAGAAACACACCCAAAGTTGCCTTAAAACACAGGTGAGGGCCACAGTTAGGGCTTTACTTGTGACAGAAATCTGGATTCTTAAATCTACTACATTGTTAACGACTATTCCTTGCATGGAATGTACATAAACAGTGTTAAACATTATTCAGACATACTTGTGATTTGTAGCTCTAATCATCTCAGCAAGAAATCATGTTACCTTAGCTACATGATTGTATGATAAGGATATGGGGCTAATTGCACTGCACTAATGAATCTTGTATCTTAATGTTATTTTTGTAGGGATGGAAGACAGCTGTTTGATTACCTTGAAATGAACCATGGGGTATACTTGTTTCAACTTTCAATTAATGTTTTTATTCCCATGAGTGGTTAACATCTAAATAATAAATTATTTTCTAAGTTGTGGTAAATTTCAAAAAACTTTCCAATAGTTAAGAGAAAACTGTGTCAGAACAGCGAGCAACATTTATTATTAGGATTGTGCTTGATTCAGTCCATTTTATTTTTTTAACATGGTGATGCCCAAACTGTACTGTATGTACATCATAACATGTATGACTATTTTTCCAGTAAGAATAATTATATAGCGATTATTATAGCTATAGAGTTCATGAGTGTAAACAAGTTTCTCTTTGTTTGTTTATTTGCAGATCAAGCCAGAAATGTTGGACACACTGTACAAATATGCAAAATTTCAATATGAGTGTGGAAACTACTCTGGTGCCGCAGAGTATTTGTACTTTTATCGTGTGCTTGTGAGTTGTACATCTTAAACATTCCTCATTTTATCTCTTCATTTTTCAAGTTTTTATACATACAATTGTGCCAATATGGAGTCTTGTCAAGTCAGTGATATTTTGTCTTCGCACAGGTTCCTGGTAATGATGATAGAAATACTTTGAATGCTCTTTGGGGAAAACTAGGATCTGAAATCCTCATGCAGAACTGGGAAACTGCACTGGAAGATCTTAACAGACTCAAGGATGTCATTGAGAGTAATGTGAGTTTTGTCAGTTCTTGTCACAATGTTGCTTCTTTTACATAAACATTAAGAAATTCACAAGATCAAGAGCCAGTTCGTCCTGTGAGATACATCAGGGAATCATGGTACTTGTATTCATCATCTTGGACTGGATATTTGTTTTGATGAATACAACTACCATGATTCCCTGCAGGCACATCTCGTAGAGGGAATTGGCCTTTCAAAATGCAAGCAGATTTGATTCATGTTTGTGTATAAATCTGAAAATATGACCATTTTGTTGTTAGTACACACCTTTAGTGAGTACTTTAGGGAATACTTTAGTGAGTACTTTAGTGAAAGCCTTCATGTAGTGTCAAATGAAGAACCTTGAATGGTAGCACAGTGCTATATGCTACTGTTCATGTAGGTTGCAGGATTTCCCAGTCATGGGAACTAAGATGAATCTCCATCTGGCTGGCTTTGTAAAAGTTAGTTGCTACATAAACAACATTTATTCTGTAATGGATTTGGACATGCAGTTAAGATATTTCTAATAAGTAAATTGCTTTTGAAACTGTTTTTTCTTTCCCGATTGCCTTTTAAACTTTAGAACCAAGCTGGAACACTTCAGCTGTTACAGGAGAGAACCTGGTTGATTCACTGGAGTCTGTTTGTGTTCTTTAATCATCCAAAAGGGAGAGACTTAATCATTGATCTGTTTCTTTACCAGCCTCAGTAAGTGTGTTGTTCATTCTTAAATATCCAGTTCATCAAACTGTACTGTAAATGTGCTTAAACTTGATTACTACTAGGAATGTTTGAATTTTTCAAAGTGTGCTTGATTTTACCACTTGGGTTTTGTGACCTTTTCATTAGCTCAGAACAGCTGAGAAGTTGACTACATGAAGTGCTACATTTATAGCAACATACAGCTATAATCACAGTTAGCATTATAAGCTAGGAAGGACAAGATCAAAGACATAAAACTCAAGATTTAAGAGACATGTGTAATTAGACCTAGCTTTTTAATTGAGCAGTAGATAGCATGTTCTAAATGATGTGCATCCATATTTCAGAGGACTTCTTTTATATTGTCACTTATTCTTTCATAGGTATCTCAATGCAATCCAAACCACATGCCCTCACATTCTAAGATACTTGACCACAGCTGTCATCACCAACAAACGTCGACGGACAGTCCTAAAGGATCTTGTGAAAGTGATTCAACAAGAGTCGTACACATACAAGGATCCAATCACAGAGTTTTTGGAGTGTCTCTATGTCAATTTTGACTTTGATGGTGCTCAGCAAAAGCTGCGAGAATGCGAAACAGTAAGTGCTTTGGGCAAGCTTTTTACATAAATCACATTTACCGGTACTGTATATAGAGTATGTGCAAGATTTTTTAAGCATTGCTACAATTAACTGGACAAGAAATTTTCTCCTGTATCTGAAAATTATAAAGATGATCAAATTACATGATAGAATGTGTTTAGTCGACACAGTGACCGTAAATTCCGGAGTACTTAACATTATGAAATCACAATTCCGTTGCAGGTTTTGCTGAACGACTTTTTCCTTGTGGCTTGTTTGGATGATTTCATTGAGAATGCCAGACTGTTTATATTTGAAACATTCTGCAGAATACATCAGTGCATCAGTATAAAGTAAGTTGCATTGCTAGCTGTGGTACCCATGAGGAGGGGGCACACTCACCTAGCAACTTGAGAAAATAACTTCCGATCCAGTAATTTGCACAGTCTTATGAAACACAGAACTTCTCTTTGCTTTCTGGTCATCTGGTTTTACATTTGTTTCTTTTGTGCTAGAAGATACTGTGCAGAACATATTAGGCCTTTTGTTTTTATCACTCNTTAACATGGTGATGCCCAAACTGTACTGTATGTACATCATAACATGTATGACTATTTTTCCAGTAAGAATAATTATATAGCGATTATTATAGCTATAGAGTTCATGAGTGTAAACAAGTTTCTCTTTGTTTGTTTATTTGCAGATCAAGCCAGAAATGTTGGACACACTGTACAAATATGCAAAATTTCAATATGAGTGTGGAAACTACTCTGGTGCCGCAGAGTATTTGTACTTTTATCGTGTGCTTGTGAGTTGTACATCTTAAACATTCCTCATTTTATCTCTTCATTTTTCAAGTTTTTATACATACAATTGTGCCAATATGGAGTCTTGTCAAGTCAGTGATATTTTGTCTTCGCACAGGTTCCTGGTAATGATGATAGAAATACTTTGAATGCTCTTTGGGGAAAACTAGGATCTGAAATCCTCATGCAGAACTGGGAAACTGCACTGGAAGATCTTAACAGACTCAAGGATGTCATTGAGAGTAATGTGAGTTTTGTCAGTTCTTGTCACAATGTTGCTTCTTTATATAAACACATTAAGAAATTTACAAAGATCAAGAGCCAGTTTGTCCTATGAGATACATCTGCAGGGAATCATGGTACTGTACTTGTATTCATCATCTTGGACTGGATTTTTGTTTTGATTAATACAGCTACTATGATTCCCTGCAGGCACATCTCATAGAGGGAATTGGCCATTCAAAATGCAAACAGACTTGATTCATGTTTGTGTATAAATCTGAAAATATCACCATTTTGTTGTTAGTACACACCTTTAGTGAGTACTTTTATATAATTAGTGAATACTTTAATGAGTACTTTAGTGAAAGCCTTCATGTAGTGTCAAATGGAGAACCTTGAATGGTGGCACGGTGCTACATGCTACTGTTCATGAAGGTTGCAAAATCTCCCAGTCATGGGATCTAAGATGAATCTCAATCTGGCTGGCTTTGTTAAAATTAGTCACTAAATAAACAACATTTATTCTGTAATGGATTTGGACATGCAGTTACAATATTTTTAATAAGTAAATTGCTTTTGAAACTGTTTTTTCTGTCCTGATTGCCTTTTAAACTTTAGAACCAAGCTGGAACACTTCAGCTGTTACAGGAGAGAACCTGGTTGATTCACTGGAGTCTGTTTGTCTTCTTTAATCATCCAAAAGGGAGAGACTTAATCATTGATCTGTTTCTTTATCAACCTCAGTAAGTGTGTTGTTCATTCTTAAATGTCCAGTTCATCAAACTGTACTGTAAACATGCTTAAGCTTGATTACTACTACAGGAATATGTAGGAATGTTTGAATTTTTCAAAGTGTGCTTCTTGATTTTACCACTTGGGTTTTGTGACCTTTTCATTAGCTCAGAACAGCTGAAAAGTTGACTACATGTAGTGCTACATGTATAGCAACATACAACTATGATCACAGTCAGTGTTATAAGCTAGGGAGGACAAGATCAAAGACATAAAACTCAAGATTTAAGAGACATATAATTAGACCTAGCTTTTTAATTGATCAGTAGATAGCATGTTCTAATTGATGTGCGTCCATATTTCAGAGGACTTCTTTTATATTGTCAGTTATTCTTTCATAGGTATCTTAATGCAATCCAAACCACATGCCCTCACATTCTAAGATACTTGACCACAGCTGTCATCACCAACAAACGTCGACGGACAGTCCTAAAGGATCTTGTGAAAGTGATTCAACAAGAGTCGTACACATACAAGGATCCAATCACAGAGTTTTTGGAGTGTCTCTATGTCAATTTTGACTTTGATGGTGCTCAGCAAAAGCTGCGAGAATGCGAAACAGTAAGTGCTTTGGGCAAGCTTTTTACATAAATCACATTTACCGGTACTGTATATAGAGTATGTGCAAGATTTTTTAAGCATTGCTACAATTAACTGGACAAGAAATTTTCTCCTGTATCTGAAAATTATAAAGATGATCAAATTACATGATAGAATGTGTTTAGTCGACACAGTGACCGTAAATTCCGGAGTACTTAACATTATGAAATCACAATTCCGTTGCAGGTTTTGCTGAACGACTTTTTCCTTGTGGCTTGTTTGGATGATTTCATTGAGAATGCCAGACTGTTTATATTTGAAACATTCTGCAGAATACATCAGTGCATCAGTATAAAGTAAGTTGCATTGCTAGCTGTGGTACCCATGAGGAGGGGGCACACTCACCTAGCAACTTGAGAAAATAACTTCCGATCCAGTAATTTGCACAGTCTTATGAAACACAGAACTTCTCTTTGCTTTCTGGTCATCTGGTTTTACATTTGTTTCTTTTGTGCTAGAAGATACTGTGCAGAACATATTAGGCCTTTTGTTTTTATCACTCTTGTCTTTAATACTTCATTTCATTGATGTTCAAACAAACAGATGACTTAGTCATAAAAAACCTTTCTCATCTCATCTGTGCAGATTATTATTTTTTTGGTTCAAGTGGTGTGACACAACAGGTATTAAAAGTAAGCTAAACAACAACAACAACAACAACAACAACAACAACAACAGTTTATTTCTACTACTGTAAACACTGTAGTTTGCCAAACCCCTCCGTCCCACAGTTCAGTTGTTAAATGGTGACACTTTGGTTTTATTTTCTATTCTTATCAGCATGCTTGCTGAAAAGTTGAATATGACTCCTGAGGAAGCTGAGAGATGGATTGTTAATTTAATCAGGAATGCCAGATTGGATGCCAAGATTGATTCTAAGTTGGTAAGAAGTTTTCAAAGTGTCCAAACATAAGTGACTTACCAGTAGTTGTTAACATGCAGTTTTCAGGTTCAGATCTATGTAAACGACCTTCTTTCTGTTTTAGGGTCACGTGGTCATGGGAACCCAGGCTCCTTCAGTTTACCAGCAAGTGATTGAAAAAACCAAGGGAATGATGTCTCGCACTCAGGAGCTGGCTCGTAACATTGAAAAGAAACTCAACGTTGACAAGTTAGGGTATGACGGGGTAAGAGCGCTTGAGTGGTGCTTTCTGAACTATTATATTTTGCTGTACAAGGTTGTTCTAATTTTGTTGTTTGTAGATGAACCCATAGCATATGACCATTCAAATGGAAGCTACTGAGAAGTACTTTCATGTGGTACTCTTTATTTTGGTGCACATGGTGGTTCTAATTTTGTTGCTTTTAGATGAACCCACAGTGTATGACCATTCAAATGGAAGCTACTTAAGAGTACTTTCATGTCGTACTCTTTATTTTGGGGTTCAAAGTGGTTCTCAATTCTAAGTCTGTGGATGAAACCCTAGTGTATGACCATTCAAATATAAGCTACTGAATGGTACTTTCACGTTGTGATGTTCGTATGTCAGCATATCGCAAACGCAAATGTTTAGAAAATAAACCAAATTATTATGAAGTACATACTGTTTCACGATTTTTACCGACTTAACTAAGTGTAGATGTAGATGCGGATGTAGAAATCTTTAAATACGTGACAGAGATGTATTGTTTTTCTTCTGTTCAGGGTGCGTGGGATGCATATGACCCGTCAGGATTCTTCAAGCATTGAAACTTAGTCTGGAAATTCAACATCTTTATCTGTAAATTAGTGTGTGTGGCAGATATGGATAGTGGAATGCAAACAAGAATTTAAACGTTCATGAACTGCGAGGGAAAATAGAACATGAGGCATAATATTTTTCTTTCGTTATACAACCCTCTTTCTCGTTTTTCCTCGCATTGTGCGCTCCTTCACTTTGTTGGGGAATTCTTATTGTTGAGGTCAAGAGACAAACAACAGCTACTCCAAAACACGATGTAATGCTAACTGACAGCAAATAACGCCCGCTTGTATCTGTACCTGCCACTTAGACTACTTGTCCTAAAATTGAGTGAACTGTAGCATTCTAGCTAAACTACAAACGTTCTGGAATAATTTATAAAAATATCCTACTGTTTCTCGATGCCGTTCATATTTATTGATGAGTGGAATCTGTCCCAACTTTACTGGAAACTTAGCGCCTGAAAGGCACGTATCAAAGTAAAATACCAAAAAATAGAAAATAAATAAACATAGAAAATTCCATGCTAGAATGAACTGCTTTTTTTGTTTCAACACTACAGTTATTTCTTTAGATACTACTTAGAAAAAGCTCAGTTGTAAAGCTGTGGCTATATCGATATCAAAATATAGCACACAGTTCAAGATATCGTCTCTGCCAAAATTTAGACGTCAGTTCCCCTTTAGCCCGATTCCTGGCGAGACTGGATTAGAGAGTAAGACTGAAAACAAATTCCTGGGAGGTAATGATTGGTGTGTTCTGCGCATGGTCAGTGTGTGATGACCGTGGCATTTCATTTTTCCATTGATCTGTCCAGGTTTGTTTACTATATGTACAGAATATAGTTTTTAGTAGCTTAGTAATGTTTTCTTTAAATTGACTCTGCTTTACTTCTTACGTTCTCTAATTCAACCGTAAAAAGAAATAAGCAGTGGCGTTCTTTGAAAATGTTACTAGCCATCGGTGTAGAGATCTTTCACTTTGTTACATCTGTACATTGGTGTTTTGCAAGACGCTTTAAGCTCCTCTTTCCGAGTCGAAACGCTTTGAACTTCGCTTGCCTTGAGATTTTTGCTCAACCTTGTCTTTTTCCTCAAATATTGTATGTGATCGACGCGGAAAGCGAGAGATACCAGTTTCATCACCGTGAATATTTCATGACCGCCTGGCCATGTACTCAGGAGAGCCGAAAGTTACTTTTCACCTGTTGTGTTGAAGTACTCTTGAATCCCCTATCGATTCTTTGAAAAACATCAAGTATCTTGTTCCACCACCATTCAATTCTCGCTACTGTACATGTAATAGTTACATTTAGTGGCTTCAACCTTGCTTGTGTTGCTTGTATATAGGCACCTGGTCGATGTTCCTGATATTTAGTTCACATGTACAAAGGAAAAAATTCGCCCCTGTTAAAGATGAGCGTATATAATCAATAGACTGACGTCTTAATTGCTGGGTACTCACCAACTCAAACCGCAAGCATCGCAAAATAACAGCAGTCCTCGAGGTAACCATCGAACAACTCGAACCGTTAAACAACAGTTGATGTAAAAGGATCAATAAAAGGACAACAGCAAATCCAGAGAAATAACGCCGACACTAAGCACACAGTTCGTAGAACGAAATACAATTCTTGCATCCTGCTTCTGAGCAAGTCGCGCCCGACAAAATGATGTATGGAATACCTTTTGTGAGGCGATTAGTTCATTTTGTATTTCACTTCTAATTCCTCTTGGAATTTCATTGGCTCCACTGCATGGAACCCGTGTATTTTTTTTCCTTAAGGTGTCGCCGCCAACAGCTTTGTCACATACAGATTGCTAGTATTCAGCTCTGGAGAAATTCCTGAAATATTGTTCATATTCACCAAATGATTTTGTTTTCCTTGTGGTTGACACTTCTCCCTGGTGTAATTGACACTTATTTATCAAACCTGCAAGAAAACTATATCCTTAGGTGGTTTCCCTTCGAGTTGAAAAGAATTGTGATCGTCACATTGACACATGTAGATTGCAGGGTTGTGTGCCAACAAAAAGAGTTATTGGAAAACGAAGAACTGAGGGAAAAACGCTAAAACTGGTTGCCCATAGCAACCTGTTGACCCATTCCTTACACAATCTGCGTACCTCTTGCTCAGGCTACCAGAGGCTTTATCGCGCGGTGTAAAGTTTCGGTCACGTTTCCGTTGTGACGCGCGCAAAAAGCAAAATCCGCTTAAATTATATGTTACGTGTTCTTCTCTTGAAGTAATCGTGGCTCTAATTTCTTACACGGCGAAATTAAACATCTACAGGTATTGAAAACAAAATGAAATATTTCCTTTTGTGAAAGATTTTTTTCAATACCATGGCCCGCTGCCATCTTAATTCACATGCAAATTATTTCATACTATAGCATTGGCCGATTGATCCTTTGGGGATGGAACAAGTCCAAGTTGTTTGACGCAAATCACTTATAAAATATTTAAACCTCATTTCCACGACACGTTTTTATTCTTGTGTTTTCTAACTTTACTCTAGACTTTGCATCTTAAGGTACAGACATAGTCACTATTTTTTTAAATTATTAGAATTTATTGCTTACTTTTTGTTGGTCACAATCAATAGTGGGGACTTTCCCCTTAGCTACACATTAGTGACTCGTTAATAAAGTTTAATCATCATCGTCATTCACTAATTTAGATCGCGCCAAAAATCTATCAACTTTTATTTAAATTTCTTAGAAGCATTTCCCTGCAATTTGGAGCTGGCAGAGTAAGGAGATTTATTAGAGTTTATTATTGATCTAGGACGGGTGAATGTTCGAGACAAAACGCGCGCGCCGTAGTTCCCAAAGGGAACCACGTCGACGTCTGACCCTAGGTTCGAACCCAGGTTACTACACAGTGGAGGGAGGCGCCAAAAACAAACTGGTATGCTGACACTTTTCCCGCATCCTCCCACCTCCCTCTCCCCACGCCCATTCCACCTTTTTTTAACTTGTTCTGTTGCAAGTTTTAAAAATCTATGCCATCAACATAAGCTGTTGAAAACATTTCAGTGATCTTCCCTGAATCCCTTTTTCTCAACGAACCCTCTGATGAGTTTTCCGCTAATTTGAATCTTCAAGTTTTATTTGCAAAAGCACCAAGGTTACGGATCATCTTTTATTTACATACAACTTGTTAATCTTTAATGACCACTTTTCTTCCTTTCGCCTTTTTCTAGCCGGCATAAGTAGCAGCTTTATTGAACACATCCAGCGCAAGCGCAAGTGCATCTTCGAAGTACATAAAAAAGCCTCTGGCACGAGACCATGACTGACACGATCTAACGTTCCAGAATCTTCGATCATCTGAAAGCAGTCTCTATGCTGGAGTACGTTTCTCTCACCCTTGTAGTACTTATCATTTATCTTGTGGCCGGCATGTGGGGGATGTTTGTAGGCAAATTAATCTACGATCAGTGCTTTTCAGAAGCTCGTAGCTGGGAATACTAAAGTTGTAACTGCTATGAAAGACTGATCTTTATTCGTCGGGTACACATGATCAGTGTCACTCGCTGGGGTAAAATTTCATTGAACCTATAATTTGTATCAGCTTCTGTTTGAATTCATGGATTTGCTAATATAATTGGTAACAACAGGTAACTTTGGAATTCTCCGTTTTTTCGCGCTCTTTGATTGGTTAAGGCTATTAGGAATCGATAATTTTTCAGGGATTTTTCTTTGGATTTATCCGGCAACAACAGACACAGTCCGCCCAGTGTTTACGAAGCAGTTGCAGGTGACTGTGGATAGTTCGATGTCGCGGTGACCGCTTGTACTCTAGCCAACACAGACTGAAGTCTTCGACGCTTTTGGAAGGACTTGTTAAGCCACAACTGGCTCCAGGCAATACAGATTTAGATCAGAACGTCTTGGAGTGTATGACTGTCACGAGAAGTTTACACTGAATAGTGAAACACATGGCCTTAGTGTATATGCGGATGAAAAACCCCTCTCCTATTCTCACATATATTTATCCATCCAACAGCGCGATAACTTTAAACATTTGTGGAAATCTGGTAAAGATCCGATAAAATGTAAGGAAAGAAGGAGAATAACAGCCATCAAGTTAATCAAAGAAACCAACCAACCAACTGATCATGGCTGACTGACCGACCAACCAAACTAACAAAGTAAAACGCAAACTAATTAAACACCCACCCGCCTATCATCCGCACATCACCCAGCCAACCAACCATGAACCAACCTACTGACTGAGCGACGGCCGACCAACCAACCAATGCAATTAATCAATCGATGACTTCGTCAGTCAGTTAGCCAGTTAGTCAGTTAAACGTATCATACACATTGACAGACGCACAGTCAGACGGAAAGCCGGTTAGTTCGTCAGTCAGTCTTTCAATTAATAGATTCCTCCCCAGTCAGGTTAAGCATTGAGCTTTTCTGTTCGCTTACAGAAAAGTAACCTTTTTAAACCTGAACAAGGGGTGCTTACCATTTACAAAAACCATCCGGTTGGAAATTTCAGGCTTAAACATTAAACAATTAAATGCGACGTTGCGGGAGAGGGAATCGCTATAAAGTATATCCACATCAACTAGAGAGACTTAAAAGAGCAGAACAATAGCATCACCCTAAATCACAGCCCATATTTTCTGAAGCTTTCCTAACGGAATGGCGCGAACTATTTGATTTTCCAACTGGAATTTCCGGTTTTCCCATGTAAATGGTAAGTACCCCAGATGTCATCTTTATATATCAAGAGTTTGATATCCTTCAGTTTAAAGGTCTGCCTATACACTTACAGGATTCATGGCGGAAAGAAATAAAATGGGGAAACGCTCCGTATTATAGGAACATGTGCCTGCTGCGCGACGTCGTTTGGTTAAAAAATGGGCATAAAGAGCGGCGTGCAAAGGGGATCTGGGTCGAGCTTGAAAATGTCGAGTGGGACTAGTGAGAGACGAGGAAAGCAAAGTCTAATCTCACGTTTCGTCTATTAAAGTGCCTTCATAATTTTAGCATTGTGTTCTAATGAACCAATAATAAAGTAAATATAACACTTTAGTGAATGCCTACACGTCAAGCTTAGAGACGCCGGCATAATTTACTGCTTTTTTTTTCGTTTTTTTTTTTTTTGTTTTTTGTTTTTTGTTTTTTTTGACGCGTGCTGATTTTATATACAATATCGCCCGTGGAGCGACAAAAAGCCAAGCTCTCTGTATTAAAACTGCTCCAATAAAGTTCACATCACTCAAATAGGATATAACAGAACCAACAAAGATAAGACGAAGCAATTTTATTTATTTATTTATTTATGATTTAAATTTTGAGGTAAAAAGCTGTTTGTTGCGGAAGAAACATGCAGTTTTGCACCTGCTAGCTGTGAGGCCGGGTCGAAGCTTATTAAAGTAAATAGATTGCTCATCTTGAGGTATAGACCATCTGCATCCGCATTGATACTTAGATATACAACGTGAGGAAAGGGAATAAAGTTGACTTGTCATTTAATGGTTGTCTGGACATAATATCGAGCAAGCCTTAAGG